GGTATTATCTTGAGAGTGTTATGATAAATGTTGGAATTGTGGAAAAAGGTTTGTTTGCAGTGACGAAAATGAAAGTAGCATCTAATAAACAATAATAGGATAAAAGAAAAAGGGGGGATTGTAAGAAACTATGAACTAAGGGTATTGTTTATTGAAATTTATGTTAAGCTCAATGTAAAGGTTAGGCGGCAAAAGACAGAAAAACTGCTTATGCAAATAGCTGCCAGACACCGCTTGTGTGAGACAAGATAACCTGTGAGACAAGATGACCGCGTGAGACAAGATAACCGCAATTGCTTACACAAACCAGATACTTGTGCAAGCAGAAGGGGTACTGATCAAAGACAACCACGAATGTAAAAATGTATAAAAAAGGAACTGTTTGAACTGATCAGTACGGCAGTTGGCGGAGCGCAGACTCCCCTGTCGTCCAGCGCTGTCTTTGCTCATATTCTACTTGCTATAATTAATAAAATTATAATTGGATTATGATCCATTGTGGTCTCAATTTATAACATAATTAATAGGATTAGAGATTAAAATGGCCAAGCTTCCACTGCTTTCCCAAACTAATCAAGTTCATCACATTTTTTTCAACTTAATAATCCAGCTAACAAAGATAAAACCATTTATTAAAGCAATTTTTGAATACATTACACATCCCTTTAAGGCAAACAGTAGTCTAAAAACTATGAAGAATAGCTATTGAGCATAAAAAGAATCCAGTCAAACCCAGATAAATTTTGAGTACAGTATGTGTGCAGTACATCTGCATTAAGGACATCCTGTTGACAATGGAACCTGCTTATTCCATTTTCTCCTCTCATGAGAGTCACATTCTCATGTGTTGAACTTTTCCTAGTATGGTACATTTTCTGTATCACTAAATTTTAAGTCACAGAAGCATGTAAAGGAAATGGGCAAGTGAATGGAAAACTCTTTGCCCCTTATAGGCAAATGCACATTCTGCAGATGAGAGAAGATATGAGACCTAGCTAGTGATAAAAGAGGGAAGCAGACAAAAGAATTGGATCACTCTATGATCAACTGAATAAATGAAGGAAAAAAAAAAATTATTCAAGATCAAATTGGTTGAAAACACCTCAAACGCTGAAATACTGAGCATTTAAGTGTTTGTGGAATGGACAATCTTTAAAACTGATCTTGAAAAAAAAAATTACAATTACATTAAGAAAAGGAATTCAAGGAACCTGCAAAGCTTTCTATGAAAAGACATCTTCTCAGTGAGAATCTATGTTGTCCTTGCTTACGGTAACAGTTCAGGTGGGGGAAACACCAGAGGAGGTCTAATATATTGAATGCCTTTCTGGCTCCACAAATTTAATTCTACTGTAGACACCAGAATAGTGGTTAAATACATTGGCTTCTCCTTCTCTACATCTCCTCCAGTGGACAAATGAGCTATATATGCTTGCCAAGCTTAATGCTTTCTGTAAAACTGTCCCCTCTTGAGTGAGAGGAGAGGAATGCGAAGTGAGAGGAAAAGGGAGCAAACAATCATCTTTCAAACATGGAATAACCAGACAAGCTTCCTAGTTTGCATATGGAAACGAGCTAGCCATTGCCTGTGCTTGTGTCTAGTCTAAATTTCACAACTTTTTTATTAAAAATAGTTCAGGATATATTCTGTTCTTCTATTCTACAATGACTTTTGGCATCAGTGGGGCCCACGTGTACGTGGTAGAATACAGGTGACTGACGTTTAGTAGTCGAATTATCATTGCAAAGAAAGCATTCTAAAAAGGAAAAGTAAGAAAGGTGACAAATCGTCTTTTTGGAACTACTAGATAAGAGAAACTTCAGGGGTGAGGAGAGGGTTGTAGAACTGAAGTACAAATTCAGATGATTGAATGCTATACAATTTCCATAAAATATGCTTTTATCTACTAAAGTTTTGTGTCAGGATTCCACTCTACTTTTCATTGGCATTGCACTTGGCTTTATAGTACTTAAACACCTTAAAGACAAATACCTACTAAAAAAAATCTTTTTAAAAACAGCTGTTTCAAAGAAATAACAACTTTAGTTTTTTTTTTTTTTAAAAAAAAAAGCTGGCATTCATACTTCACCACTTTTTTTTCTCAATAGGCTCTTATTAATGAGCATCCTGCCCTGGAGAGGGCACTCTGTGACCACATTATGTATTCCAGTATTCTCATTAACCTTTTAGTTTTAACACGGATATGCATGTTATCCTAACAGTTTGCTTAGACAGTATACAGCTCTTATCAACCATAACACAGTAAGAAAGGGAACCATATGGTGCCAAGCTCATCAGTTCAGCCTGACATGTATCAGGACCAACATCCTGCAACTATGTTTGATTATTAAAGACAGTATATTATTTGACATTTAAAAAGTCAAAATGTAGTCTCATCAGTTCAGCCTGACATGTATCAGGACCCATATCTGCAACTATGTTTGATTATTAAAGACAGTATAATATTTGATGTATAAAAAGTCAAAATGTAGTAATTCTATTCTAATAACCGGTAAATTACAGGTGTTGAAATCTTTCTATTAGCAGTGTTTCTCCCATTTCTTCCATAGCAACAGCAACCACAATCTAGAAAAGTTCCTCTGGTATATTTTATTGATGTTGTGGGAATTAATACAGATTATACACTCACCTGAACAGTTCAAATTTCATTTCTGGAATTACAGAACCACTTTCTTTTCCAGCTATTTCCTCCAAAACTACATATTAAAAATAACACTAATCACTCTAAATCCTAATATACAAGATAATACCATACAGTAAAGATACATGAAAAACTTCCTGTGCTAGGCAAACTTTGAAACATACTTGAAGGCATAATTCAATGACTAACTGGTAATTTGAGATAAAAAAACTCCTATCCCTGTAATATGAATATTCCCAATATTCCATAATTATCCAGTTTGCTATGTTCTGCCCCTCAGAGGCAGAATACTGAGGATGAGAACCACTGTTCTAAGCCAGTCTAGCAAGTCCTACAGGCAAGTGTTTTCCATTAGTAAAAAAAGAATCCTAATAAAATAATTGCCTTTTTTGAACAAAATCTTTTAACAGCATAGTGCCTTGACTTCCTAACTAAGCTGTAAGGAAAATAAGGTAACTACATTTGTACTTAGCTTACAGACCTTCCAAATTCATAATTTAATGGCTAACTTCACAGATAAAATAATTGTGTGACTACAGTAGAGTTAGATTTAATGCATAAGCTTTGTTTTTAAACACTGTCTGGATATACAGTGACACTACTGCAACAAAAGATCAATTCAGTAAAAGTACCTGGATGTCCAACACTATATTTCTACGGTAGTTAAAGTATCAGTCAAATAAAACTGCCAGCAAGGGCCTAAAGGAAAATAATAAATATATATTTATCCCTTTACCACAAAAGAGGCCATCTGTGTGTCAGTAGTTTCAGCAAGATAGACTGAAGCCCTGTTTGTAGAGGATTTACAGACACTAAAGGCTGAAAATTAAGATTTTCCATCTCTCACCCAGGCCTGTTTAAACAGAAACACGTTCAACAACTCCCCATTTTCACAGGTGATAACCAATTCATCTTCCTATTAATATTTTAAGAGGCTCCATTTTTCTTACCCAGCTGCTACCCTAATCCTTTTTTCTCATCCCCCTCCATTAAAAGTTTCCACTTTCTTAGAGCACTTGGCACACACTGTTCTCTATTTGCTCTTAGATGCCTGTCCTCCACCATTCTTCTAACAAGAGCTTTTGTCACATCCCACTGCAGTCTTGTCAGAGCTTCAGCTCTTGGCTCTAAGGAGAAATACACACATTTTACTATATCCTTGAAGTAAGGATCTTTTTTTTTTAATTTATTTTGAGTTCAGAAATCTGTAGATTTCCTAACAGGTGCTGAGCTACTGATCAGAGGCACTTCACTTACTGTAATGAAGCATCTGTAATGAAAATTGCACACTACCAGCATTACCCCTAATTAATATTTGTTCACCATAGGAAGCTCTCATTCTGTTAATAGCATGTTCTCAGAAAGGTATATAGATATCATATGTGGAAAAGTAACATTTATCAAGTAACCTCAGCTCCTGGTTACCCATTAAAAGTTTTACAATCAAAACTATTGATCCTTTGAAATCTTTAATTACTCTGAGGGGACTAAACTATAAAGCTTAATAATGTAAATCTATATGGCTGAGAGGAATTCATGGCTGCTCATACATAATACCATCAATACTGACTGATAAATTCACCCATACTGGCATTATTAAAAAATGAATGGCATCATCACTTTGGAAATCAACAGAGCACCGGGAAGAGAGAGGTGGAAAACAATGCAGAGATGGGTTGGTTTGGAGATCAGACACCAGCTCACTGTAGTGTATGCTTCCCCTCATGTTGTATACTGTCTGTTTAACTGACTTCAAAACTTAAAATTTAAGACATAACACCAAACTTTGACAACAATCTTGCACTGCTAGCAAGTGAGATTAATTTTTCTTCAAAACATAGTAAGGCTATTCAATATTTATATTTCTGAAGAAAATTATTATTTGATCACTACAAAAAAATGATTAAGAAAAAGTTGAATTATAGAAACCACAGTATTAATCCACAACATTTGTCATAACTTCCATGAAAATAAAATGTGATAAGATAGTCATTCTTTCTAATATACTCTTGCACAACAACGTGCAAATGCAGAAAATTAACTGTCGTTTTTTCTCACAGTACCGTTAATTCAGCAATAACAAACAATTATATAGTAGATTACATAGAAGTTTCCCAAATAGATCAATTAGGACCACATTTTAGAGAACCTGTCTCTGGTAAAATCTTCCTACGTGATACAAAATTATATAGTTCATTTTCTGCCACATGGGCAGTTTTTAACAACTACAGCATATCTAGTCTAAAAAGTAATGAATCCCTCATTAGCTCCCTTACAAAGACAACAATTTGACAATCACTGACTTGTCTCCACCAACCACTATTCCTATTCTCTTACCTGTTATCAAGGCAGAGTGATAATATCCACAGGATACAGAGGAAACGGGTTTTCCAACATCCACTTGACAAGGGACACTGACACAGGCTTCATCAGCCAAGCCAATCTGACCTTCCGAATTGTCACCCCACACAAAAAGCTGCCCATCCTCTAAAATGAAGTCACACATAGTTAACAGATTTAAAACCAAAACTAATAAAAAGGTAATTTATCCATTTAAGAGCAGTTCATAAACTCTGTGTATGATACTACTAAATGTCATATCTCAGGGACATAAAATGGTATTTAGCACAACACAACAAAACAGTCAGAAGTAAGAGGGTATTCCTTAAGCTTTTCAAAAGTGACACAGAACACTTAGTCATCAACTGATGCTAGACCATAAATAGCAACAGGAAAAGTAATATGCAAAAACATTCCTTCAAAAAGAGAAAGATTGAGTGTGTAAGACAGTTCAGTTGCAGCAGTCAGTATGAAAACATTATGGTGAATTTAAGGCGTCTTCTCATTTCTAGTAGCAAGTCACTTTCTCATTCTTCTAAACTTATTCTCTGTTCTCACTTTGGTACACATCCCACTTATTCTTGCCTTATCTTTAGTTCTCTTCACAGATTATTATATTGCCCAGCTTCATTTTGTTTTCCTTAAACTATCACAATAGCTGTTTCAGGTTTATTAAGACCAGGCTCTGTTGACACATAGACCAATGGCAGCAGTAAAAAAACAAACAAACAAAAGGTAGTGAACAACATGAAAAATCTCTAGATTTTTCTAGAAGAGATGAGGTCTTCTCTCTACCTATTTTTTATTGGTGGGAAGTAAGTTGTGAATAATTCAAAGCTGACTTACAAATCTCAGAAGAATGTTAGCAATTTCCACAAAAAAATACAAACCAAACGAGCAGACTAGCATCTCTCTCATACACTCTTATGCTCTCTGTCACATTCTGAAATGACAGCCTCAAAAACTTGTCCTAGACATGTCCAGAAAGAGCTTCTTTACAGCAAAACTTGAGAAATCACATTATAGGGTAACAAAGGACCCATCCAATGGCTGAAAGTATTATAACTGTATGTATTTCAACACGTTGCAATTGTGTAATTTTGCCATTGGAGAAATCAGTCATAGGTTAGGTCTCTCTCAGCAATGACACAGCTGTGTAGCCTGCACCAGTAGACCAAAACAACTTCAGTAAGAAGTGGAATTAGAGGAATTTATTTTTCATAAGATTCATATTTTGTAGCTGACTTCCCTGGAAATGAACTGAAGATTTTCCCCATTTTGAGGGTATTTATACTGTCTCTCTTTTGTAAGGATTCCTACTAAACTAATACAGGTTGAGCTCCCATTGCAGGACATTGTTCATGGAAAAGGTCTACGTCCACAAAAATTGTAGGAATTTAACGGTACTGCCATACCTTACCAGATTGTGTTGAAATAGGCAACTGGCTATCAAAAAATGACTACAATTACTAGGGAAGAAGACAGGAGGCATAGAAAATACACCCACATATTCAGACAGAATGATGGAATAAATGTTTCCCTGGAACACCATGCTGGACACGCATAAATAGATTTATTAGCAGTTGCTCTTACCAGTTACTGCTGCTGAGGTGTATGATCCAGCTGCTAGCTGTTTGATCTTGTGCTGGTTGGTAAAAAAACTAATTAAATGAAATGTGGTCCTTTCCTCTGTGTCACCTAATCCCAACTGACCTTCACTGTTACCTCCAGCAGCATACACATTTCCTTTTTCTGCATACAGAAAAGCACATGTAATACACAGAATGAAGACATTCTCATCAGTGTAAAAACTCAGAGAAACTGGAGCAAGTGATTTAATTTTCGATGGAAAAACATTACAGAAAAGTTGGGTTCTACTGCCCTGAAATATCCTCAAGTTGATATCTGCAGTTTCTGTTGTAGCTAGCCAGGAGCCTTTCCTGCACAGGCTTGGATCAAAACTTTATAAAGGCCTTATATGTACTTAGGTTGACTGTGTTTCCCATCATTCTGGAGACTGATATAAAAAGTAAATATAATTTGAAGTTCTGCAAGAGGTCTGAGAAAATTACTACTAGCAGCCCTGGCAGCCAGAAAAAGCTTTTTCCCCAAATAATGTATACAACAGGAGGAAGATGGTGAATGATGTCACAGGCAAGAAAACTGAAGTCGTATTAGTACATAAATTAAAGAGATGCATAATTTCATAGTTTTGAGTACTGTGAACGAAATAGATTTTTGCTTAGGTTTTTATTAGAAATATTTTACTCATTTTAATTTTTAAATCACTTTAACTATGTCTTTAGTTTTAAAATCTTTAAGTTAAAGCTGATGATTAATATCTTCAACTTAAGAGAACTTTAAGATCTACATTTTTAATTTTATTATGTTTCACATCTAAAGTGCTCATCTATGATGAAGAAGATAAGGCCCATTAATAACACAAATCCAGACACAAACGTGATAAGCAACCAACATGCAATTTATAAATGGTCCTTGCTATATAAATGGCCACAAATTATCTAGCCAGCGTGTACACTAAAAGTGACTAATATTTACCTGGTGCAGTCTTGCATACTCAACTGTTATTAAAATGTTCTGGTTTACTCTAATAGTCTTATTTACAATGCTCAGGGTCTCCACATTTATAAACCTCCTAATAATCAAACAATCCTCTTTATAACATTACAACAAGCTAAAGAATTGCAACCACAAAGATGCCTATTCCATTACATAAATTTTAGAAACATGACAAGAATTTGCATCAATTCTCTGTATACTGTCTCTCTAAAAATTTATTTTTTAGTTTAAATCTACAGTTTCTTTATTTATAGCTTAATAAAGCAACTTATCAGCGAAATGGCAGACTATTTTGTCTAACCAAAATGCGACAAAATTTGAAGACGTGAAACATTCAGTTCTACTACATTTAGTCAAGCATATAACTTCACACTAACAAAGATAAATTACTTGTCAAAGGTAAATTTGAGTACAGATCCATAAAAAATACTAATATACCTTTACAGGGCTTAAATTAAATATTGATAATTGTTAACCACACCTCAAATGCCAGCAAGAAATATTTTAATCTGTCTATTGATAGAAAACTCCTATATAACATTATTTTATAAATGCATTGGCCCAGAATAAGTCAAACATTCAAAGAACTGGATATCAAAACCCGAAGTTTTAACAGTCCCATTTTTGTTTATTTTTCCTTTCTCAACACTCCTGGGGTTCCTAATGTAATTTTTCATGAAAGCAAAGGAAGAAATCTACCTTTAATATGTATATAATATAGGTTACATACCTGTGTAAACTAAAGTGTGGTTTCTTCCACAAACAGCAAGTTTTGTTTTTTCTGGTTTTAAAGCTATGAATTAAAGCCAAAGGAGGGGGGGAAAAGTTATAAACAAGCTGATAGCTGGTTCAACAACAAAATGTTCTGTGCTGTAGCAGAAGCTCTGATTTTTTATTTTTACCAAAAGAATGATTACAAGATTTGTTTGAATCTAGCACATGACTTACTAAATGAAGATTGCCCCAGAAAAAGAAAACAGATATAGACCTTAAAAACTTATAACTGACACTCTGGTTAACTTGATGATGGCTACTTCATCACAATGCCACGTTCCCCCAAAATTACCATTTTTGGGATATGCCTCGACGAACATATCCAGTTGCAGGACAAAATGCATGCTTAAAGCTGTCTTCAGTTTTCATTAACATTACTATTCTTAACTCCCTCTTAGGCTTTTCCAGCTATCTTAAATCTTTAAAATCATGCTGTTCTTTTGTCTTATCATCCCTATCTTCCTTTGTTATGCACAGCTACCTTTTTTGCTAGACTTTTGCTCTGCACTCTCCTCTTACTGATCACTAAACTCAATTTGCTAAGGCCAGTCCTATCTGGACTAGTGCCTAAAATTTTTGCATATACCATCCTGTCTCAATTTCAGCTCAATCACTACCCACCCACTGCACGTACTTTTCTGCAGTCTGGTCACTGTAAAAGACTAGAAATGTATGCACGGGGATTCAAGAGTTATTTTGGTGGGAAAGAGAAAAAACATAGACGTGCCTTTTCTCCCATACCAAGTGCACTCCAGAAACAGAGGAAAAAAAATCTCACCAACTTTTCCATCCTCTCTCCAATCCCTGGTCACTGCCAACAATTTATCTTCTCTCAGCCATGTTCATGTGCCCTATACAACTCTCTTAAAACAGCATTATTTTTACATAACATATCTTTAATTGCTTTTCCACTGCACTAGTTGATGACAAAGCCAACAACTATCATCCCTGTCACAAACCTTTTCTCACTCCTTCCAAATCAACTTTCATCAGCTCTGTAACATTCAGATTAAAGTACCTTCTACCAAGTCACCAAATAAATCTATCTTTTTAACCATGAACTCTCTCTGGTCTATCACACAGACACAAACATAAATTGTCCAAATTCAGGTTCCTGCCTACCCTATCTGACACCTACCACTACCTCCAGGCTGGAATGTTGGCTTCTTGCTACAATCTTAATTTGCTGCTTCATATCCCAAAACTCTGCCTCCAATTTGAGAGATGATCTTAATCAGTTCTTCAGAAGCCTGTGCTCCCTAACCTTCCTCCCACTTAGGCTAATCAATTGTATTTGATGAGTCATGCTATATTTATGACATCGCTGGCAATTTTTCATAACCAATTTCATTAGTCTCTAGTCAAGTCCCAGAAGATATTTTCTAAGAAAACATGCAGCCACAACCATTTGGCACCAAGCAGAAACTGAAATGTGTCCTTGCAACCCCATTCCCAAAGCCAAGTGATGACTGAAAGCTAATGAGAAAAGCTCCAAGAATTTCTCCTGCTGCCTACTGCCAAGAGAAGAAAGACACCCCCCTTGTGACTTTTTTCAATGGATGCCATGCCTGGTTTGAATTGCTGTCATATTCTCTTCATCTTTTATTCATCATTGCAATTTGACAGTAAAAACAAAACCCAATCCATTTAAGACAAGGTAAGAATCAATCTCTCACATGGCTGACAGAAGATAGGAATCTGAGAGTAGCTGCATTCTCCCTCTGAAGTGAAATAGAGAGAGGAACAGATGAAGGACAGTAGAATAAACTAAATCATGGAAAAAAGAGTTTCAACAAGCAGGATAATTTGTTTTTAACAAAAAGCTAACAGATCAACCTGCTGGCAGAAAGGATGAGGATAAATTTAAGGGTGAAAAGAAATGTGCTAATGGGATAGATCTGACTTGACATAAGCAAGGGGATATGGAAAAAGTATTGACTTAGTTTTGTTTGATAAGATAAAACCGTCTAGGAAAGATCAAGAAGATAACAGTGCAATGAAAACATATTTTACAACACATGAAAGAATATGGGCGTTTATTTTACTGCTTCATACAAATATATTAATATTCATGCCTCCTTGGGCACTTCTTATACTTGCTAAAAATGTAGCAATACTTCTAGAAAGTTACTGATAGATTTTTTCATTTACACAGGTGCTTAGACAAAAGTGATACAAAGGATACACAATGTTGTTGGAACTCTGATTTCTAACACACAGACAACAGTGCAGAGACCACACATCTGATTAATGTCTTTGCAGTCACAATGAAGATGCGGCTTGTCAGAAAAGGCAAATATTACATAAAATGAGAGCCTTCAAAAAAGACAGGATTCTGTGTAATCTTCAGATGCAAAAGGACCCAGAATCTGGAACTGATGGAAAATCAGCCAGGGATTCTTTTAAGCTACCTTTATGAGTTTGTGCAGTAATATGCTGCACATGACAAGTAAAGAAGGCAGAATCAGTTCTTTTGGAACTGCATCTTATAAAATACCTTTTCACAAGAGTCTCTTTTCAAAAAGACAAAAAAATAAAAATTAAACAAACCTTTAACACATGTTGGTTTGCTGACAGTGTTCTTTGATCCTAGTCCTAATTGGCCCCAGTTGTTACTGCCAAACATGTATAGTTTACCATTTCCTGAAAAAAAATGCACAGTTAGAATCTATATAAGTGTTTGAATACCGCATTCAAGACAAGATGATCATTCACACACTATGCTATTTATTACTTCCTTCTTAATGTAAGGTTCAAGATTAGGCAATTTAATACTTAAGTGTAAACAATAATTTATGTCCTTGTAGTTTTTTGGTACAAAAGTAATAATTGCATTAAGTAAGAAACCCCTAGTAAGAAGTCCCTAGCACAGATAAAATGCTCTCCAGAAAGTAAAATGTTGTACTCTTGGAGAGATCCTGCAGCTCAGAAACCTCAGTATCTGTAAGCCTACTTATGAAATAACAGCACATTTAACTGAGCACCCACATCTTTTACCCCAAAGACAGGAAATAATAATGCAGCTATATAATTAAAACAAATTCATAATATTCAGCTTATTTCATTTGTTTAGAGGGGGCTATTTCTTTTACTGCTAAATGTCTTCTCTTGAAATGATTTACAAATTTGCACTTCTACAGAATATAGTTTCTGATAAATTTTCAAATGTGTTCACAAATTGTGTTAATTTGTTACTCAGCACATAAAGAAGGAATGCATAAAACCACTGTGCCGTCAGGGAGTTTTGTAAACCTAAATGCAAACATTAGATTACAAGTCTTCAACAGAAGCAATGCTAGAATCATATTTCAGAAACTGGTATGACGTCATTGAACTTGCAGGTTTGACCATTACAAACAATGAACTGTTGCAATTCCGAATTACCAGTGTTTTTTTAAAGGGATGGTGTACGAACAGATGAAACTTCGGTCATCATGCATACAAACTAGACAGCCAAAACCGACTGCTGACAATAGCTTAAAATTAATTAATTCCACTTAATTGCATTTTTTAAACTATTACCTTTTGTAAATCTTTTGTAAAGTTCACACCCAAAGATAAACCCCTTGTTCCAACAGAAATCTTTGCAAAACAGTAGAAGGTGATTTGTCAAAAAAACAAAACCAAAAACCTTTTGTAACTTTTAAAAGGAGTTTGTTTACTTTTGATGAAGGTCTGCAGAGCTTTGTGAGTTAGACTCCATCACAAGGCTGTCACATAAGTAAACTTTGTTACCCTAGTCATCAACAATTATCACATGAACTCAACACATAACAGCAATTCCACATAATAATGCCAAGATATTATAGCTGTTTGTACTTCAGTAGTGTAGGTTCCCAGGGAGGATTCTGAATGTGACTTACAGAGACTCTGAAATATGGCATTGAAATTTTAAAATATAGCAAAAAATACTTACTCTGTTAAAAAAAAAAAATCCATTTATTTTCTTAAATATAACCACATAGTTAAAAAAAACCAATCCCAAAACCAAGCCACCAACAGCTAATTGTAACTAGAATCTAAAGTCCCAATGAAATTGTTAGTAAAGTTGCAATAAAATTGTTAGATTTGACAATTTTTTGAATGTAGGGTGAAGGAAGTCTGAGGTCAAGTCTACGCTCATGGTGTTTTACTAATAGCATTTATATCACCATCCCAATTTTGATAATGCAATTATGTCAAAACACATAGAGAGCTGTCTGTCACCAAGATCAAAACACACCTTAACAGAAACAATTTTTATTAGCAAATGGCATTCTATATTGGTATATGCTTCCTTGTATCCTTGGTTTATATTTTTTAGCTCCCTTTATAAGACAGCAGTATTCCTGTGGGAATAGGATGTCAAGCTGCCGTAATTCAATTCAAGCACATTCTCTTTTATCCATTCAAAATTCCAACAGGTCATGCTTTTCATCCTATAGTCTGCTGTTTCTTATACCAGTCTTTAAACTCTCAGGCTTTGCTCTGTAAGTCAAAGAACTGAATAGATGAGAGGAATTTTTTTACATTCTTTTACAACTGAGTGACAGCCTTTATAATTTCAGGCTTCCAACGCTTAGTAGTGTAACAGAAAATAAAACTGGGAAGCAGGTAATTCAGACAGTGAATGAAAACTAATTGGCACTCTAGAGGAACCTAAACAAATGACAGTAATTAAGCAACGTTTTTGGGTCTGTACAGCAAATCAGGTTTTGGAGCAGGCATGATGAAAACTAAGCTGGCCAGGAAACATGACAGAATTTTTTATGCAAAAGGCCCTATTTTCATAATTGCAAACTGAGTTATCTCCACTCATCACCACAGATGCACTGAGGTGAGAGCTAGTTCAATAGCAAATAGGCAAGGATCATATTTCAGAACTTTGTAAACTCAGATTGCTCATTTCTTTGCTTCCACTTTTGTGCTGACATACAGAGATTATGGCCATGTGCCATCTGGAAGGGCTGGCAGAAGACAGGTCTGGCAGAATAAGATTATGACTCTGGGCAGAAGGGAAACAACAGGATATAAAGAAAGAGGCTACTCAGACTGTTTTGGTGATGAAAACATACTTACAACACCAGTCTTCATCTTCATTCTGAGCAAGACTGGAGTATTTCTCCAAAGTATGTATGCAGTGGCTTATCACCACCAGATATTTCACCAACACTAATTCAGGGCTATGAGGGAAGCCACGAGATGCTTACATCTCTATGAACACAGGTTTTGTGAGAGACTTCAGGAAGAGTGCTTCCTAACCAGCACATTTCTCATATGAGTAGCTGCTATCACAACTGTGATTCCTGGGAGCCCCATCTGTCATGTGTTGCCCTGTTTCATGAAGTGCTACTAAAAACATTCATTCAGCAGCTAGGAAATACCAGCTGAAATCCTCAACATGCTTCATGATAATAGCAGGTAGTAAAGTACTTCTATCACAGGTGCTTAAAGGTATGTTTTACATATTGCTGCCTTCCCTGCCCCCCCCCCCCCCCCCCCCCGCTCTCCAAATTATATCAGTGTGGGAAGAAAATGAAGGGGAAACAATGTACAGACTCTAAGCATTTATTACAAGATCCTATTGAGAAGCTGTATCTAAAAACATAGAAGGTAATATTTTGGACAGAGTAGCATATGCCAGGCACCATGATTTTTTTTCATTTATTTATGCTATTTTGTAGAACAAACTACCTTAATGGTTCATTCAAAATTCATATACAATTCAAATACATCTCATAAAAACAGGAATGACATCAGTTTTGTTATGCAAGTTATGATATTCTCAAAATAAAAGCTTTATTGAACAATAGGAACAGTCACGCTTGGGACATTTAGCATAACACAGACAAAAACAGTGCAGTATGTTGCTTGCTCCTACACATTTCAAAGAGCAACACAAATGTGTGTTAATCTCTCAATTTCCCCTTGCAGCTGATGCAAAAGATAACGTGCCGTGTTCTGATGGCCTCTTGGTAGGCAGAAAGAACAGAAGGAAGGTGGTGTCCAAAGACCTGGAAAGATTCCAAGGCCTCTTTGGTGTAAATTATTGAATGTTTAATGCCTTAGAAAACTCAAAATTATAAGTATACTACCGTGTTGCGGTTCCATACACACCTCTTTTTACTCCTACTTTTATACTTGATACTCCTTTCTTTCCTTCTACCCTCTTGCACTGGGGGCTTCAATTCTCTCCAAAGTTCTGAGTTCAGAAAATGTGTTTTCCCTCACCACCATATTCCCCCCTGTGAACAGGATCAATCTCTTTAATCAAATTTGGGCAAGCTGCCTAGGATACTCTAATCAAGGCAAATAAACAGTAAAACAGCTGTGAACATTATAAGCATTTTGTACAAAAGAAAATTAATATAAAGGTATTGGGAGGAGATTCTTAAAAATATGCAGAACTTCACTTACTTCACACCACCTCACAACCAGATGAATAAATTGATTTCCAAAGCCTGAAGTTACAGAAGATGCAGGGATTGGACTGTCAGTATTCTTGGGCCAAAAGACATAGAAATGGATCAAGAAACATTATTAAACGTATTACAAGTGATGCTGGAAGACATACTGCTCATGACTGTGTTAAAGAACTAAAGACTACTTAAAAAAATTCCTGCTTGAACATTTTAATGAAAATTGTGCTAAAGATAGAAAGCAAAGCAATAAAGAAACACAAATTTCAATCCCAAACTCCAAAACTGGAGAAGAAAATGTTTCTCCAACTAGCTCAGCAAGCCAACTCAAAGTCAGAAAGAAACTATCACTGGTCCTTTCCATTCCATCACATAGCCACAGTACATAAATAAAATTTTGGTCTCTCAACTCCTGACCAAGAAAGCCAAAGAACAGAGTGCTTTTGTGTTTACTTTAGGCTTTTATTCCTAAAAGTCATACAGGAATGTTGATGCTGGATTAGATTAAATTAGTATTTGAAAATTTCCAAATATTTTGTTTGAATGCTAAATATTAGTTCCTGTACATTTTCTTCACTTGCATTTGGTCAAGATTCAGTGCTCAATGTAGCTAGTGCTCAATGTAGCTATTTCTCCTGCTCAAAATCAGTTTAAGAAATGTTTTGTATCAGTTTGGGTGATTGTTTTACTTATGATTGTTGAGACACATTAGCGTAAAACTGATATATTTCTATTAGATTTGAATCTACCTCATATTCCCACTGTCCCCCACATACATAGGTCCCACTACCTCTTCCAGGGGGTGAAAAAAAAAAAGGAGGGAGAAATTTTGTGACCTGTAAATAAATACTGAAAATAAAATTAAGCATGCATTAACACACACCTGCTTGAGATACTTTTCCTTCCTCAGTGATGTTTGTCTTTTATCTCTTCCAGGTCAGGTTCAGCTGGATTTCAAGAAGCTCCTGGTTTCCCACAAGGTCTGTAGCCTTCTCAGTAAAGTCATTATCAGTAGGCACTTATGGAGCTTTTATTCCAGGTGTTACTGCAGTTCAGTGTCATTCACCAAGGGCTGTAATTCCACCGTATAAACCAACTCCATCTAACAGCAGAAATGCGAGGTGCACACGGGCATGCACAGGTGTGAAGAACAAATGAGGGACAAAGGTTTTCTGGTTCCATTCTTCGCTTTTTTGTAGGCATCCTGCAGTTTCTCTACCTTTGCTTGTTGTTGATCAGTATTTTGCCCTCACTTTTGCCTCTACTTTACAATGTCCCCAAAAACTTTCTGGTACCAAAGAAACCGTGTACTTGTGCTTCTACAGTTCCTTCTCAAAAGCTCTGAGAAAATATAGATCTGATAATCTGTAAGTTTTCCTGGTGATGTATCTGCACACTACAACAGCAAAGGCCAGCTACAGATACATTTTTGAAACATGCTGCATATATTAAAATAATGAGGAGAGGGGGAAATAGTAGAGAAATGGCACTGCATGCAAACCTATGCAAGTTGACTTGTTCAAAAGCTTTATCTAAGTGGCCACTATTACAGTGCCATGGGAATTAGGGGATTGTTGCTGATTAGGGTAACAGTGCTGGCACAGGCATATGCTGGGGGAACTCAAGGAGGCAATTTAAATTGACTAGTCAAAACTAAGAATTACACTAGTGTTATTTCAAACAGGGTATGGACATGCAAAAGGACGTATCAAAAAAAATTCAAAAGGAAAATGTCACAGTGCCCCAGGTTACATTCTGATAAATTTTATGCAACAGGCAATTTAATAGAACTGGGTCAATAAAAAAAAAAAGGTCAAGTTTTGTTCAAAATAAACTATTCAAGCATAATAAATCTTCTGTGAAGTCAGGCTTGAAAAATTAATTCTATAATTTCACCTTAAGATGTTCTGCAGTCCATAAAATCTATACTCTTATTATCATGCCTGGAATAGTTAATTCTAAAAATTCAGCATCTTCAACTTTGCTTGGGAACATGGCAAGAAACCCTCAAGAGATTATTTAATGAACAATGACCAGCTGGGCATTGATGAGGAACAAATACATTCCAATAAAAAAGTCCTGAAAATATGTATATAAATTTCGTAACAAAGTTTTATTATCAGCAGTTAACTGTCAATACGATAGACACATATGCTTATCAACAACAGTAGCCCCTTCCATGTAAAATAAATTAAACTAATTCTTCAATTAGTATAGTTTCCATCATTTCAAACAAATAAAAATAAACATTAATACTGCTCACTGTATTCACCTGAGCTTCTTTGAATGCTTTTGCAATTTATTTCTGATTTTAGTAGGATTTTTCTGAGGTTTTCTGAGTTGCTCTTTCAATGGTTATCTTCAGTTGACAGTTAAGAGTAATTCAAATCTTCATTTCAGAGATACAATTTTATCTATTGTTTCAGGCAGATTCCTAGTGAACTTGTTGATTGTGTTCAACAGATACTGTTTATTTCCACGTTGCAAACCTCTATACTTAAGACTGCCTACTGAACAGTGTCAGATTCATAACAAACGTTCAAGCTGAACAGTCATGCTATTTGAAACCCTGTGTGATACATTCAGTTATTACAGATTCCATCATGACAGTTCCTGGGCACGTCTTGTGGAAACCTCCAGTGACCTCACACTAATTTCAAAGGTATCTGACAGTTCCCACGGAACAGTCCTCTCTCCTCTCCACACCCTCAGTTGATTTATTACCTCAGGATTCAAATAAGAATCATAACTTTCCAATCTGTCCAAATATATAACACTGACCTGTAACAATAGCTGTATGTTCATCTCCACATGATATAAGTACAGGCTTGTCATTTTTGAACCAGAACTTGCTAGGAGTATCTTCCGCAAATTTGCTTTTTCCAAATGTGAAAACAGCACCTGATTCTAAAACACAAAAAAATAACGTCAGTTTTACTGAAAACAAATTTTGCCCCATACATTTTGAAATAGTAATTTCCTATTAACTCAATTGCACATTTTAGTTTCCCATCTTCTTTTTTTTTAAAAATGGCTGAAGTGTTTTCTTCTATTCTGTTTGACCAGGACTCACATTTTAGTCCTTCTGATTCTTCTTAGCCTCCATGAAATTGCCAACAGAATAGGTATCGTTGCTGGTATACGGTGTTCTGAGGATACAATAATTTATTTTAAAGCATGCTAACATACTTTATCACTACCCTCTAAGAAAAACTAGTAGGTGTGTAAAAGAAAGAATAAAGAACTCTGAATAACTTCCCCCCAGAAAGTAAAATAAAAAGCTCATCCTGAAAGCAGGTCAAGACAAACAATTCTCACTTACATTTATACTTGAATTCAAACAGGTTTTCCAAATTGGTTTAGAGAGAGACAGACACACACTGTAAAGAGATGACAAGCTCTGAACTGACCACTCTTCCTCACCCATCTGAAAAGATACATGTGCACTAAAAATGGCCCCCTAATATAGAAACTCTCAGCCTTCCAAACATGGGCTGGCACAACTGGCTTTGATGGTAAAACCATGATCTAAAAAAAAAAATGAACAAAAAAAAACCCAAAACAAACAACAACAACCACAACAACAACAACAAAACTAACAAAAAAACCCCCACCCTAAAATAAAGTCCAGACAGTTCTTCTGCCCTTGTAACCTGTCTAGTTTTCTCAATTCTTTTCACTTTCAAAAGTGTCAGCAGTGTTGTTTTACAACATAGAATGTTACCCATTTATTTACCTCTTGGTTAAGCATGTGGCTTGACACAGAAAACATTAATTCTACAGGAAAATAAATGAACTTACAAGTTAAATAATTTGCCAAAAGCCATGCAGACAATGTGGCAAAGCACCTCCTATTTTAAAATGTCAAATCTTGCTTTAGGCATATAATAATTTTTTGGAAAACAAAGAAAAACCCAAATCTTTTCCTTGCAGACGTTTTGTTAACATGTAAACTATGATTACACAGTAACACTACACTGTTGCTAGAAAATTACACATAATTTGATAGTTACATTGAAACATCTCTGTGTATTTACTTTCAATGAAAACACTCATCAACAGTCTGCACCCCAGCTCCAAAAGCAAAAGTTCTCTCTTAAACTGCAAATTTGACCTTCATTGTGAAATGATTCTCTAATGCAAAAGTTTCCCGTATTTGCAAATGACATGTTATTTCATGGATCAGATTCAACAGATATGTATGAAATTGCATTTACTACCCTTCTAGAAGTGTTTCACCTTCACTGTTTTATTAAAAATAAGCCTTGTGCAGACGAATTCGAGCCTTTTATTGACAGGGCTGAGTTATGTAGACACACCTGTAACCATAGGCATGTTAAAAGGCATCTGAAAACTCTATTTTAAATTTTAATCTCCAACCAGCCAGCTGTGTTGCCTATTTGAACATGCTTACAGGGATCTCTTTGGCATTCGTGCCAAAGTAGAGCTCTCTGGTTCATTTTTCTTTCAGAAGCATTAATATGAAAATACACGCATATTCTCAACTCAGTGTATACAAAAAGCAGTCAATTTAATTCACAGACGTCCTTTGTATCTCATTTATTTCACAACTGAAACCTAAGCCATCAGTTTGGAAATGAAACCCTACCAATTCATAAAATTAAACTCCACAGAACATAAATGAGGTTTTTGCTGTCTCGACACCGAACGACTGTTTAAAAGTCACCCTGGGTCAAACCACAGCCCAAAACTCGTTAACTGAAAAATCCCCGCCCGCCTAACATGAGCCACTCCACCATGCCGGTGACGACAGCAAGGTTGCCCCCGTCTAATCTCTGACGTCAGCGGACGTATTTCTCCCCAGACGCCGTAAGACACCGGCCCGAGCCGGCGGCCCACAGCCCGGGGGCGGCCGCGAAGCGCCGCGCTGAGCGACCAGGGGCCGCGGCCGCGCGCCGGGGCGGGGCGGGGCGGGGGGGCGGCCGCTGGGGCGCCGGTGATGGCGCCCAGCGCCCCCGCGGCGGGGGGGGGGGACGACGACCACGACGCACGACACGGGCAGGCGAGGCCGTTCCCCCCACCACCTCCCCCCCATCCCGGCCCAGCAGCTCCGTCGCCCTGCGAAGGACCGGCAGCACTCACCGGGCACCGGCAGCTCATCCTCCTCGGCGGGCTCGGGCTCGGCCATGGCGGCGGGCGGGCGGGCGCCCCATGCACCGCGGCGCCGGGCTGCCGGAAGTAAACAGAGGCCCTGCCACGGGCAACGGCCATAGAGAGCGGCGCCGCGCCGGCCGGCGAGGCCAACCGCCGCCAGGGGGCCCGGGCGGGGAGGGGGCGCGCCCCCTGGCGGCCGGCGGCGGGTCGGTCACCCGGGGACTGGTGCTCCCGCCCCGCCATCTTAAATTGCCCCCGAGCGGGCGGGAGCACAGAGCGGCCGCCGCACGCCAGGCCGGGGCTCCCGGGTGCTGAGAGGCGGGAAGAGTCGCCTCCCTTGAAGGCCCCTTGCGAGTCTCGCCTCCAGCTGAGCTTTGCTTTGCTGGCACCTTTTCTACATCTCCCTGGGCATCGTTTCTCTCTGCCTCCTCTGCCACCTGTCCCTGCCTCCGGCTCCCGAAGCTGCCATCTGGCACCGGGGCTCTGCCTTGAGCTCCCCGCTTAGCCGAGCGAGGCCCCTGACACTTCTGCTTGCTTTGCTGAGTGATTGGAGAGGCTGCCCTGCCTCAGCCGGGTGAACAGAGCATAACTCAGAAACTTCGTCACCATGGGGATTCTGCTGTCCTAAAAGAATAGTTTCCTCTGATGATCTGTCTTTCACCAAGATAGATGTTCATGTAAAGCCTTCTGATGGGGTTCATAAGAAGATGTTCAATCATCCACCCAGCCAGGGACACTTAGATGATGGCAGTTGTGCAGACCCCACTGGAGTATGTCAGGGGGCTTGTAGCCTTTTAACCATATTTAGTGTACATTCCCAAACTCCAAGTGGAGCTTTTTCCTCCCTCAAAAAAAGTCTGTGGTCACTTAGAGATTTCTGTTTTCTTGCTTTTCCTGTGTGTTTCAGATGTGCCAGGTCATCCCTTGCCAAAAGAAAAAGTCTTGCTTTCAGGATGATGTACTGCAGTAGAGGCTGCAGCTGGCAGCCTGGATAACCAATTTAAGCCGTGTTTTATGCAGAGTTTAATCAATACCATTGTTGGTGCATAAGATGAGGTTTTCATAAAAGTACACACAAATAAGGGTGGCTGCGTTTTCAAAAGTCAACAGAAAGCATTTGTGATTTTAGCCCCTACATGAGGCAGGAATTTAATCTCTGTGAACCCCAATATCCCTCTGATGCTTTCTGCCCTAACTGCTTCTCCTAAGTGTGGAGTGAGAGGATATCCATCAAAAGCTCTTCAAAATAAAACTAAACAAACATTGTTCTGTGAAGTGATGTCTGAGTTGTAGTTACCAGGTACTGTGGTTGCCAAGAATATAAATGGGTTATGAAATGATTAGGAAGATTCATGAGAAGAAGGTGTCTGCATTAGGGTTTTGGTTTCTGTGACTGTGGGATCCTGTTTGAGGATTAACATCTGGTTGGGAGAGGTGGGAGTCACAAAGTGGGACAAATGTATCTCTGCTGGTGGGATGGCTGACCTGGTAGGGAGGTCTTTGAACAAGGAATGACAGGGAAAGGATAGAATAACCAGCAGCGTCTATGATTGTCCAGCCACCGTGCTCCTTGAAGTCTTCATTGACCACCACTGACTGCAGGATGGATGGAAAAGGCTGTTTATAGAATGGGTGTTTGGTTTTGGCTTTGGACGACCACTGCACGCAGACGAAGCAGAAGTGATGTTGGCAGGGGTCCAGTTACACCACGTTGTCCGAGGTGTCCAAGCAGACACATACTGCTGGAAGATGCAGCTCTGGGCATGGTGGGGTGCAGCAGGGTGGGAGCTGCTCCCCCTCAGAGGTGCCCCAGCTGCTGAAGCCCCTCTCTGCAAAAGAAGGGCACTGAGGTGAGGACGTTTCTCGGGGAAGGAAACTGGGGCGCGGATGAGCTGTGAAAGGATATTGACGTCCCGAGGTGTTTCTTTCAGGTTGAAAGGAAGCAGCATGAGCACTCTTGGTGTACCACCCCACAGCCACTGCTGTATAAATGCTTTCCTTGCCTTTCCCTACCCTGACTGCTGCTTCCCCTCAAGAAAGGAGATGTCAAGGGTCAGTCCCCTGCCAGTTCAGAGGACAGAGATCTCATGTTCATATTAGAGGACTGTATCAATATCATTCCTTTACCCTAATCTACTTCTCTCTTATACTACGTTATTCTTTCTTCACCAGTGTGTCTAAACCCATATACTGCCATTACTTCAATACCAAGCCCTAGGATGCAAAAATATACCAAACCAGTTCAATCCTGATTTCAACATTGAAGCATTTTATGGTGTTGAGACAAGTGAGTCAGTTTTTCACATGGTAACACACTGAGCCCTGGCAGCCCGGAGGCAGCTAGCAGGAATGAGGGGTGGCTCTGGGGCTCTACTCTGAGAGCTGCTGCTGTCACCCCAAATGTATGAGAAGTGTGTCACACCAACAGCAATGCTGACACCAGTCTGACTCTCCTCTCGCGCCTGGTGCTGCTGCTCGCTCACGGGAGCTTACGAGGCAATTGGTCCATGTGGGAACTGGAGTCGGTCAGTCCCCTCTGTACAGGGGCAACCTGACAAAGGAGCACTGGCACTGCCCCTCCCTGGGGGGCTGCAGGATGAGAGTGGGGGCCTTGGCACCACAACCACCTTTCCTTTCACCCACAGTCTTTTCTCCTGGGTATCACTACTGATACACACTCAGTCCTGGGGGGGCTGGGCTTGAAGGCCATGGGAGTCATTTTCCAGAGAAGGGCAACCAAGTGGAAGACTGTGGCCCAGCTTTTTTCTTTATGTGCAGCTCTTCTGGCTCTTCCATTCCATTTCCATTCACTTCTGTTGGGTTTTGCTTCTGCTTGGTATCTCCCCTGGCAACTGCAGCATTTTCCAAGCATCCCAGGGCTGGTTTGGTATGAGAAGTCCTGAACAAATCCCACCGTGAGCTATCACCCTACATGTCTTTTATGGCAGTCTCTCTCTCTGGGGAAGTCAAACTTTTTTTCTATGTGTTTTAATTTAATGATCCTCACATTGCAATTTCAACATATCGCCTTCTCTGACAGATATGCCATCACTTTGATTTACACAAGTATGCCTCTCCTTACATAGAGGAGGAAATGAGAAAGTAATGGTCATATTTCAAAACCACCTACAGTGCAGGTGACATAAAATCTTATCTGACAATTATATTTGAAGGTAGAAATATAACTGAAATCACTTTAGTATTTAGCAGTTGACCAACATCAGATTACACAGCAAGCATTTTAATGTAAGGAGGTATGCAGGCTGCAATATTTAAGTTTCTCGGCCCCACTGTGGGCTGTTTAACACTACCATAGCACAACTGAAAATTTGGTCCAAAAGGCCCCAGGAAACTATACATTCTTTAATGTAGCCCTTCTCCATTCTTATCAGGGCCCTGAGGGCACAAATGTCTTAATGGCCCTGCCCAGCCCCACACCCCTGGGCCCAGGACCTTCATTTCAGCTCAGCACGGGGCCGTCAGTCCCTGCCCAGGCCATGCTGGGGCTGGGGGGGAGCCCCCACAGTCCCAGTCCCATCCCCAAGGGAGCCACGCCATTCGTGCTGCGCCCTGACAAATCTTCTTTTGCCTTTTTCTACTAGTGCATGCTCCTGTACAAATATTTAGCAAACGTGAAATTGCTACAAAATGGTATTGACACAGGTATAATATGATGGGCCCATAGTCAAGAACACAAACTGCGAGTGGTGCAATGGGCCCTGTGAGAAATCTTTATCTGTAGAGTTTGGCCAAGGAGAAGCTTCAGTGTCAGCACCCGCCAGCCCCAGCCTGAACTGGGACAACCAAAGCGAAGACTTTGGTTCTTGGTTTTCCCTTGTTTGCACAGCAGCACAGCTCGCTCTCTGCTTCATACACTTTTGTTTCTCTTAACTTTATTTCGAAGACTGAGAGAAGTCTAATACAAACGGAAGATGCTGTTTAATGTGAGGAACTTCTTCAGTATTGCAGAACTAACAGGGACCAGCAAGCGGCTGCTGCGACAGTTTTGGTAAGCTTATCCTGTAGTTTTGTCTGGCATTAAGTGACGCTTAGTAAGAAACCTGGAGTCAAAAGGAGCCGAATCCTGTGAAGGAGTGAGTGTTTTTGAGAAAGGCACTTTTTTTTCCACATTTTTAGTGCCCTTTTGCCTCCCAAGACAGTGAGGGAGGCAAGACTGCATCTTTGGGAGTCTGGAGGATTTTCCCTTTTTGTGTTTATGAAATGCTGTTAATTCTTTCTGAGGGATTTAGCAGCAAAGTCAAGAAGGAATGTTTCTTCTTGAGATCAGTTTATGCTGAAGGTAGAGTAATCAATAAATAACTATCTGAATAAAGTACAGGAAATTCCAACACATTTAAACAGTTATCATGGCTAATATGGGGGGGAAATTCTCTCCTTGAAGCTGCAAGGTGAATCTCTGCCTCAGTATTTTTTTTGTATCTATATACACTGAAGGTGTGCAGGAAAAGCATGATGTGATATGAGGTTCAAAGTTAACCACGTAGACCTGGCTCTGTGACTTGGCTTTGGGTCCGTCCTTCATCTGCATAGACATGCCTGTCCACCATGCCTTCAGAAAAGTACCTGTAGGGCTGTGTTTCAATAAGCTGCTTCTCATGCTCATCACATCTCCAGAATCAGGTTAAAATTAAAGACTTGAAACTTAATTCCACGTCTTCCTATGCTTTTATGTCTATGTCAATAAGAATAACATTAACAGTGTTATGTAACAAATTACTAGTGCTGGAAAACTATATATGGGAATTTCACATTCACAGGAATCCTAGTATGCAATAAGTAATTTTTATTTATCATTTCTACATTACACCAGATGAAAAACAAATGTTTTCCAATTTCTGTGATTTATATGCTACAATTTTAAAGTGGTCCTGAAGCCTGGGTGATAATTTTTTAATCTATTTTGGATTTTCACTGCTGGCAGTTGGTGGGAACTTTCTCTGATTAGCAGAGATGATAGAAAAGCAAGTTTGGAAAACTACTGCAGTGAAGCTGGTTTTCCAATAAAGTCATACAATTTACTAAGCTGCCCACAAAATGTTGTTTATTATTTTTAGGTTTTTTTTTTTTAACATTATATCATAACATTGACATAAGGTATCACCACTGTCTATAAGCATTACAAGTTAAACACACTGTGATTGA